AATCCTTGCGATACGGGGGTAGCCCCACAAGGGTTCATTTTTAACCACTTGAGGATTTTGAACGTAAGAGGTACGTCCTAAAATATGTCAACAACGTTTCTAAGACGTATCTTCTCCGGTCAGCTCCTCTCTCCCCCGCCGCTGTGCAGCATGACAGCTGGTAATTGCAGGGTGCAGTGCTCTTAGAGTGGCCCTTCTATGGGACCTCTGCTCAGGGTGCAGTGCTCAGTGGCCCTTGCATGGGACCTCTGCTCAGGGTGCAGTGCTCAGTTGCCCTTCTATGGGACCTCTGCTCAGGGTGCAGTGCTCTTAGAGTGGCCCTTCTATGGGACCTCTGCTCAGGGTGCAGTGCTCAGTGGCCCTTGCATGGGACCTCTGCTCAGGGTGCAGTGCTCAGTGGCCCTTGCATGGGACCTCTGCTCAGGGTGCAGTGCTCAGTGGCCCTTCCATGGACCCTCTGCTCAGGATGCAGTGCTCAGAGTGGCCCTTCCATGGACCCTCTGCTCAGGATGCAGTGCTCAGAGTGGCCCTTCCATGGACCCTCTGCTCAGGATGCAGTGCTCAGAGTGGCCCTTCCATGGACCCTCTGCTCAGGATGCAGTGCTCAGAGTGGCCCTTCCATGGACCCTCTGCTCAGGATGCAGTGCTCAGAGTGGCCCTTCCATGGACCCTCTGCTCAGGATGCAGTGCTCAGAGTGGCCCTTCCATGGACCCTCTGCTCAGGATGCAGTCAGTGCTCAGAGTGGCCCTTCCATGGACCCTCTGCTCAGGATGCAGTGCTCAGAGTGGCCCTTCCATGGACCCTCCCCTCAGGATGCAGTGCTCAGAGTGGCCCTTCCATGGACCCTCCACTCAGGATGCAGTGCTTTGAGCAGCCAAATGGCTGGCCTGTCACATGAAGACGTTAATCTTGTGTAAGCTTTGAATTGACTACGTTTGGTCTCCCCACTGTGATAGAGGAACACGTAAGGTGGGTGGAGGGGGATGTTCAATTTCAGGAGAACCTGAGAACAAAGTAAGCCGCCTTCCAGGGAACTTGGGGCCAAATTTTGGTATCTTCTTGTCTCAGTTTGATGACTTTCATCTGGTTCATGTCAAGCCGGGCAGATGTTTTCCAGATCTGTCTGTAGATGGCGCTGTATCACCGAAATCCTCATTGGTGTCATCCGTGTGTCTGTAACGTAGCGTGTTTGGTGTAATTGTGTGCCGTGGTGTTGATCTGCTGTGTTGGAAGATTTCATTCCATCTGTGTTTTTATGTAACATGTGGCTGATTCTTTCCTGTTTGTTTCAGGGGCCGTCCTACTCTCACCTCTCGGAGTTCGCCCCGCCTCCAACCCCGATGGTGGACCACCTGGTGGCTTCAAATCCCTTTGATGATGACTTCGGCGCTCCGAAAGTCAGCGCCGCTGCCTCTCCGTTCATGAATAACCCCGGCCCCTTCGGCAGCTACCGCATGCAAGGAGGAATGCCGCACCAGGTACCCCCAGGATATCCTGGAGGGCCACAGCAAATAAGACGCCAACATCCGCCCTACCCACCCAACCAAATGGGCCCCGGGTTTGGCATGCCTCAGAACCCCAACTATGTCCAGCCTGGAAACATGAACTTCTCCAACCAGCCGTTTCAGCAAGGCATGGGACAGGGCTTCAGCCCCCAGGGTGGGCAGATGATGCAGGGGCCAGTTGGGGGTTTTGGCCCTATGATGTCCCCCACCATGGGTCAGCCTCCCCGTGGGGAAATTGGGCCAGGTCCTGTATTAAACTCTCCCGGTGGTCCACCTTTCTCTCAGAGGTTCGGCTCACCTGGTCACCCCTTCGGACAGCCATCAATTCAGAGGCCAAGCCTTCCTCCCAATGCCAGCCCGTTTTCCGGGGCTGATCAAAACTTCCCTCCAGGGGTAGAGGACCACGGTAAGAACTTAAACCCTCCCAGCAACACCTTCAATCAAGAGCAGCACGTCGGCTCGCCGTCGGCTGTCAATGGCAACCAGCGAGCCTTCACCCCTAACAGTGCCCCGCGTGGGAACAGCAGCACGCCGGAAGTCAACAACATCCCCCCACCCAGCAAACCGAGCGGGAACTCTGGGCACCAGCCCCCTCCAGGACTTGTCTATCCTTGCGGAGCATGCCGCAACGAGGTCAACGATGACCAGGACGCCATATTGTGCGAAGCCTCTTGTCAGAAGTGGTTCCACCGTGAGTGCACGGGGATGACCGAAAGTGCCTACAGTCTGCTGACGCGAGAGGCCTCCGCTGTGTGGGCATGCGATTACTGCCTGAAGACCAAGGACATTCAGTCGGTGTACATCCGCGAGCCCATGGGGCAGCTGGTGGCCGCCAATGACGGGTGAAGGGATGTCATGGGCCCACGATCTAGCTATTCAGAGCTTTAATGACAGTGGGAAGGGACGTGGCTCGGACGTTCCTCACCTTTTAAGCCGGTCTGGGAGGAACATAAAGTCGTTTTGTGTCACTAAGAGTCTGTGTCCACCACTTAGACAGGGAGGGGGGTCAATATAAAAACCTGCATCCGTCACCGCTGGTGCCCACCCCTCCCAGAGTCTGCCATGGGCTCTTCCAATGTGTTTACTGCATTCATCACAGCTGGTGCCACCTTCGCCCAGAGTCTACCATTGTCTTCTCCAATGCTTTATAAGGTTTCATCCATCACGGCAGGTGCCACCCTTCCCAGAGTCTACCATGGTCTTCTCCAATGCTTTATAAGGTTTCATCCATCACGGCAGGTGCCACCCTTCCCAGAGTCTACCATGGTCTCTAATGGAGTCTGCCATGGGCTCTTCCAATGTGTTTACTGCATCCATCACAGCTGGTGCCACCTTCGCCTAGAGTCTACCATGGTCTTCTCCAATGCTTTATAAGATTTCATTCATCACAGCTGGTGCCACCTTCTCCCAGAGTCTACCATGGTCTCTACTTGAGTCTGCCATGGTCTTCTCCAATGCTTTATAAGGTTTCATCCATCACGGCAGGTGCCACCCTTCCCAGAGTCTGCCGTGGTCTCCAATTCTTTATAAGGTTTCATCCATCACAGCTGGTGCCACCCTTCCCAGAGTCTACCATGGTCTTCTCCAATGCTTTATAAGATTTCATTCATCACAGCTGGTGCCACCTTCTCCCAGAGTCTACCATGGTCTCTACTTGAGTCTGCCATGGTCTTCTCCAATGCTTTATAAGGTTTCATCCATCACGGCAGGTGCCACCCTTCCCAGAGTCTGCCGTGGTCTCCTCCAATGCTTTATAAGGTTTCATCCATCACAGCTGGTGCCACCTTCTACCATGGTCTCTACTGGAGTCTGCCATGGTCTTCTCCAATGGTTTATAAGGTTTCATCCATCACAGCTGGTGGCCCCTTCACCCAGAGTCTACCATGGTCTCCTCCAATGCTTTATAAGGGTTCATCCATCACAGCTGGTGCCACCCTTCCCAGAATCCACCATGGTCTCTACTGGAGTCTGCCGTGGTCTCTTCCAATGCTTTTTAAAGGTTTTTTTGTACAGGTCAAGAAAAAGTGCTTTGTTTATTGTTATTTTTATGTGTATGAGGTCCACATCAGTATGTGGTGGTATATTCCTGCCAATCTTTAGGTGTGTTGTCAGGGCTGCTGAGTCTGTTACATGTTGGGCATGCCGAGTGATCCAGAAAAAGAAATGAATCTTGCCGAATGGTTTTCCTGTGATTTATTCAGCTTTCAAACAAATCTGAACCCATAGCAAAATAGGTGTTCATTGGGCAGCAGGAGACCCTTTTGCTCGGCTGGTGCCCACCCCTCCTGGAGTCTGCCATGGTCTCTTCCGATGCTTTTACATCATCCATCCAGCACCCTACGCTTTTCAATCTCCTTTTAGATTGACCAAAACTGTAAAGCTTAAGCAAACTCTTCAGGTTGTATGCACCAGGGAAGGTCCCTCCACTACACAGATGGTGAATGGAGCTTGTCCACCCACGCTCCTCGTGAAGACTCAACAACAAAGCACAGCCTCGCTCGAACGACGTTGGCGGCTTTTTGATAAAACGTTATTGTTCCCGCCAAAGCACACCAGAGCCCTGCCCCAAAGGGGGGCTCCGGCATGCTTTGTTGAACAATAAAGTTTTATGAAAAGGCCAATGTCGTTCAGCTGTCTGTTTTGTTGACCGTTCACCGTAGTTGGTAGATCTGAGGAGATGGTATGAGCAGGTTGTATGGTGTGTGTGGTCTCAGGTCATTTCACAGCTGAGTAGTTAAATTTTTTTGCACTTTTATCAGTGTCAGCATTTACAGGTTTCAATAATCTTGTCTGAATAATCTCATGTTGATCCTCACCGTGCTGTGTTATATTTTTGCACGCAGTGGATCGCATGTGGCCCCCTCGAGTCACTTTTTGGCGCTGCGTTGATCCGGACATGCTGGGTTACCCGGGTTGATAATAGTTCCCCTCCTGGTCCGGCCGTGGAGCCCCCCTCCTGGTCCGTCCGTGGAGCCCCCCTCCTGGTCCGGCCATGGAGCCCCCCTCCAGAGAGTAAAATGCATGGACATGTTTTAAGGACCACTCCGCATCAGTCTCATAGTTTTCTTGGTTTATGTAAGAGATTTTAATGACATCCATGGATTAGTATGTACACTTACGTAGGCCTTCCATTTAATCAGTACTGAAGATAAAAGGCTTAAAGGAGAACTATGGGGTCAGTGTTTTTCCCCATAGTTCTCCTTAGGGTAACGGGAGGACACAAACTAGCGTCCTCTCGTTACCCTAAGCTCAGTATACCGCAAGCTACAGCTCGCGGTATACTGAGACGCTGCAGCTCGAGCGGATCCCGACTTAGACGACGGGATCCGCCCAGCTGCGTGACTGACAGCTGGCTCTGCCTATCTAGAGGCAGAGTCAGCTGTACCCGCCCCCTCCCCCGTCCATTCCGCCAGTCAGCGCTGGCAGATCGGAGAGGGGAATCCAGCCCCTCCCCTGTCACGGCAGAGAGCCGTGACAGGATCGAGAGGTGAGCGAACGCCGGTATGTGTTCCCTCACCTCCCAATCTACTGAGCCGACCTGTGACAGTCTCATGGTCACAGGTCGGCTAGAACTATGAGGTGAGTGAAAAGCACTCATCTCATAGTTCTCCTTTTAATGGTTGGGGAAGATGTTTTCAAGCACACGCCTGACTTCCTGAAATCCTTTAAAGCTCATCTCCGGGTAAAATCATTATTTGGAATGCTTGTGGGTATGTTGTTGGCATGAACTCCATTTAATGATTAGCATTCTTGTTTTATGCATCAAGAACGTTAGTATTCAGATCCTTCCTGTCTAATTTTCTGTCCAAGGCACTGGAAATGTAAGCCCTATGTGCAACGGGTAAATGGGTCCCCTCTCTACCCCCTCGCAGTTTAATCAGTTGATGTGATTGTATCAATGCCAACATTACTGTGGCCGTGTCTATTAAGTTATACCTGCCTGGGATTATCTATGGCCATGTCCATTGACACCCCATGTAATCTGGAAGCACTGCCCCAGTGCCGTCTTATTACCTTATGCCCGCCTGCGATTATCTCTGCCCTGCTCCATTCACCCCATGTAATCTGAAAGCATTGTCACTGCCCCAGTGCCATCTTATGCCCATCTGCAATTATCTCTGACTGGGTCCATTCACCCCCCTGTAATCTGAAAGCCCTGCCCCAGTGCCATCTTTTTACTGCTTTTTACTGTTACTGTCTCAGTGCATCATGGGATATGTAGTTTCCTGAGGCTCGCCAAGGACCCTAATACACCTCAATGATCCCGGGGTCTGGAGTGGGGTACATTTTTGATGTCTCACCATCTTATTGAGATGATTTCAAGCAATATGAATAAGATGTTAATAAACCTTATCATTGTTTGGGTGAAAAAAAAAAACTTGGAGCGCACCCAAAAAGAGCTTTAAAGGACTGGGGGAAGATATTTTTAGGCGCGCGCGTGACTTCCCATCAGATATTTTAGAGGAAAACTATCGTCAGCCTCCTGTAGCCTAAAATGGCCGATAACAAAGCACTAAGCTTGCAGGTATTGAAGTCTGTGTACGTACTGTGGAATATTCTGGAAGCTTTTTTACCTATTGTTTAATCAGAATGATAGCACTCTTGGCCTCTACAGCTGCCCCCCCAATCCCGGAGACTCCACCGGCAGCCGGTTTGCATTCTACCTCACTCTAAACCTGCAACCCAACCGGTAACGCTGCCGGGTGTTAGCGGCGAAAGGTCCCGCCTAGAGCTCAGCTCTCCTTCATGTGAATATTTTTTTTTAAATCTTCTGCTATACAGACTGTGGGCCCCCTCCCGATCCGTCCCTGGCACCCCTCCACCAGTGATCATGCACTTAATGAACGCGGCACCGTCGTTCCCCCCCCTCCCGAGTGGACTATAAGCCATGCTTGGAGAACAATCGGAGCCAAAGGGGGTCGCAAGACGTTTACTGCTATATAATAGTGGCGCCCCCTGCTGGCCGCCTGGATCCCCCCACCCAGTGTATGTGTCCGTTACTTCTATGAACGGTGGGGAAGATGGCAGCGAGGTCTTTGTGTATTTCTGACTGTGGATCTTGTGTGTTCTGCTGGTATAAGCAGTTCTATAAAAAAAAATATGTGATGGTACGGCTCTGCGTCTCTTATTTCTCAGCCGCTGGGGTGACTCAGGGTCCTAAATCTTAATGTCAGTAGAACGCTAGAGAGGAGAGGGCATGGAATCCACATTTTAGAGGCCGCTCTCTGCCAAGTGGGGTGTCTCAGGGTTCCCTGTAAGATTCTAAATGGTGTAGAAAGGAGAGGGCCGTGGGTCTGATGTGAGTCCAGGAAGTCTTTACTGCACACAACAAGCCAACCTCGGGGTTCAGAACACCCCCTTCGTCAGGGCTTAAAGCTGGACCCTGACCGTACCCCTTTTTGAATTTCAGGGCTGAAACCAACTAATTGATAGTAATCAATAATGAGAATCACTGCCGATGATTCTTATTATTGATTAGGTGGTCAGGGTCCCCTAGTGTTCTCCTCTGCGCTGGGAGCTGGTGTCTCATTGGCTCTGTGTCCCCTCTGACCCCTGCTGCTCCCAGGGGGATAGAAGGGGACACAGGGCCCTGCAGCTGGTGCACAGCAGTGGGAGGAGCTCCACCAAACCTCCCCAAGGCCACATCGGCTCTGCAGCTCTCTCCTCCCCGCTCCATGCTGCGGTCTGTGTCCCCTCTGATCCCATTGCTCCCAGCGGGGATAGGAGGGGATACAGACCCCCTACAGCCAGTGCCCAGCGGTGAGAGGAGCTCCACCAAACCTCCCCCCTCACATCGGCTCTGCAGCTCTCTCCTCCCCGCTGCGGTCTGTGTCCCCTCTGATCCCAGCTGCTCTCCCCCCACCTGTATGGGCAGAGGCAGCGGAGATTGCAGGGGACACAGAACTGATCCACCTTCCAGAGCCCAGCAGGGAGGAGAAAGCTGTCAGGAAGCCGAGTGGGGATGACCGATCTGTGAAATATTTACCGATCATTACCTGTAACATTCAGACATCAAGGTGACCACTGACCAGTACCGACCACAACCATGGCTGTATATAACTGAGAACAGAG